TAGGCAGCGAACTTAGTCTTGACATAATAAAGTCAGTGAAAGATGTGTCTTTTCGCTGAATTATCTCAATTTCCCGCTGGCAGCGAGTCAAGTATCTTTCCACTCGTCAACTCAATCAGTAAGTAAAACGAAAATTCAAGCCGAACATAGCGGACCGAACAAAATCCCTTCCTTTCAAAATGAAAGATTATTGTTAGAGTGAAAAACATTTCACTGCGCCCTTTGCATATAAAATAGCGTCATTCGGCGCTGGAACGATAAACAGTTTATTTACCTTACTTGTATTAAAATTCGCGTGGTACTCATTTTCGCTCAGTTTTAATTTCGCGCACCTTATAGAGGACTTATTCGCGCAGCTTTAAATTCGCGCAGGACATTTTTCTTGTTCGGTTTCTTTACTAGAGTTAACAGATGCAGTTAACCTTTTTGTCATTACACAATTAAAGAATAGCACAGAATTCGCGTAAACCTAAAGCAAGTTTTTCACCGCCCGCTGCTGGCACATTTTTTCACGCAATTTTTTTTGTTTGTTTGACTACAGAAGAATGTCGCATGGTTTGTTCAGTGAGGTGAAATCAACAACAGCGACAACAACAATTTATTTGTATTCCATTTACACAGATAGTATTGCATATGATAACATTAACAATAACAGTAATTAGTGAAGAAAATACAAAATAAAAAAGATATTATCCAAAAGAAACAAAAACTTCTTACATTGAACCAGAAAGAATCCCGACAGAAATTTCTCAGGTTGAAGATGATGATGATGAAGTCATTTTTTATTTCTAATTTTTGATGGTAATCTGTGTACGCATAAATAGAACGGATAACTTGCCTTTTTAAACACCAACCTCTAATTCTCATTGAAAAACTCTTTAGCATCCAGTGATACTGTTAACTGTTGTAGTATTACCCTATGTAGTAGCATTTCGTAGTACAGTGTGTAATTCTAAATTCTTAAGTTGTCAATAAAGTTAATATTTAATTTAAAACCTTTTCGCGCGGATTATATTTGGCGCAGTATGAAATTTCGCGCACTTACATTGTGCACGAATTCTAGTACTGCGCGAATTTTAATACAAGGTATAGAAAGTTGCTCAAAGAGACCTCAAAGCTTCAAATTGGGACTCGCACCTGCCAGAAACTTGCAGGCAGCCATTTATGAAAGTGGTCTATGATGAATTTGCATTGTTATTGATAAAAAAGTTTCTGCCTGTTCAAATGAGAAGGTGCAATTGATGTCCTGTCTTATTTTTCAATCTTCACATAATTTCTCATTTGATTGGCTTTCTGGTCTTACTGATGCTCAACACCGAAAATGTAATTAATTTTATGGAGAGAGCTTTATTCGACGAAAGACTATGTATGGAAATAAATTTAGTGAATTTAAGTCACACAGATTCAAAATTATCACCCAAAAAAGTTTTCACCTGAAACAATGAAGCTTCTCCCTTGCAAACAACAGTGAGACTTTATATTTCGTTCAAATAAAAGTTTCCGGATCAGAAGAAGTAATAAAGAGACATCGTGTTGATTTTTGCGCCCGAGTTCATTATTTTAAGATTCAATGCATTCGCCTTAAAAAGTCATTTTCATGGACACATATCCGCAGTAAGCATCTTGGGCTGAGTAATACTTTCGAAAAAACAAAACATTCTAAAAAAATCAAAACCAAAACAAAACAAACAAAACATATACTGTATCCTCAAAAAAAATTGTATCGCTTCTAAACTCAAGTTAATCGTACGCTTCTTTTGACTACCTCTTCCGTTCTGAAGCTACTTCGACATAAAATTTTAGATTTGAATTTTTGTCTTAAAGATCAGTGAACCGCTTTCAATTTCTGCTGTAGTAAAAAGACAAAACACGAATGATTAAACTACATGTGGATACAGTTAAAAAATATTATTGCACGTTGATTGGCCGTAATCAATTTTTCTCGAGGAACATAATCCCCGTCAGAGTTTCTTGATTGACACCAGAAATCAAGATTCCTTTTCTGTGGATTTGTTTAGTTTCAGTTGAAGCTATTTCACTTAACAACTTCCTAATTAATTCTGGCGCAGGACCGAGGGAGCATAGCTTTTCTTTGTAGTAAGCTGTGAACCAATCAGCAAACAACATTTAAACTGCGGTGTAGCAATCTAGCCATAACTTTGAAATTGTTACAAACCCAGTAAGACATATTACATCCACCTTGATAAGTTATTTCATGACTGAATGGACGCTTCATATCGCATACACTTAAAGTTTGGATCACTAAATGTACTAAGACAATCGACTATTTCTTCCGCTGTGATAAGAAGGAACGACTTTCCCGTTTAATGATTAATTCTTCTCTCGACGGGGGCTGCAGGTATTGAAAGTTGTTCCATTACAAGCTTCCAGATGTGAATATTTTATCTAAACTACAACACATGGAACCCAACAGCCTTAAAGGTAAGTAGAAGAAAAAAAAGAGATTTTTCGCCTCATTCTCGTAGCAAGAAACTTTTTGCGCATTAGCAAATAACAAAAGCTGTAAAGAACTTGAACTTTACCTACAAGTTAAACACCAGACTGTAATTAGAAAAGCTAGTAGATATAAAACTAGTATTAAACCAAAAACCAACAAGTCGATTTAGAAATAGCCGATCAGGAACCGATGACATATCGGCAGAATCAAATAAATTTAGTGATTCGTTACAAGCACAAGCTCACAAAAGTGATTTTTTATATCATCCTTTAATTTCATAAGAGGTTTTGTTCTTGTGCATTAGGTTTATAAGCTTCTAACTATTCACAGCGTAACCAACAACACCGGTTTAAATTTTAAAAAGAGAATTTTAATAGCAGGTGACAAAGCCGCCAGAATAATGTTAGTACATGACAGTGTATCTCTTTAGAAATGAAACGCGAGCTACCAACTCTTCCTTATTCAAAGTAATAATCACCTCCCTTGACATATTCCACAAAAAAAAACTCATGCGAGAAATTTAAACGCGACAAAATTATTGCGCTGCTGTTTAAGATACAAAGCAAGTAATTCTATCTGCTTCTTTTCTCTTTCAGGAAAGCATCGTTAAAAAATTATCTTTTTGAGAATCTGTTATAGAGTAAGAAGTTATAAACAAATGGGATTGCGTAATCTTATTTTCACAGTGTTATGGATAGCACTCGCGCTTTACACGCAGGGTGCTTCAGGTACGCTTGAATATTTCTTCAAAAATAATTCCTCCTAATATATGCAGTTTTCAGGTCGTTTTCAGCATTCGCTTTATGAAACATACAACAACTTTATTTTCCTTCTCACTCTTCTTTATTTTCAAGCTGCTTTTGTTCGGAAGACATAATAAAAATACTGTGTAAATACACTGTGGTTTCTTTTAGCCAGCAGCTCTCGCTTTTGTTTTAATTCGCATGATTACATCATCACTACAGGCGACTGTTAAACTAACTTGCTTCAACAATACAAGCTCAGTGTCTATTTGATAACAAAAAAAAAGCTTGGAAATGCGGAAGAGTAACAAGTTATAATTTTTGATACTGGTCAGCTGGGAAACTCAGTTCGCGCGAAAACGTAGCCCACGTTCCGTGAAACCGGAAGCCGTAGAGTAACAAATCGATCTGGAGGGGGGAGGGTGGAAATAAAGAGTAGTAACAATTTCTTTATGGCTTGGGGCAAAATGCATGGTAAAGATTAAGTTAAAAAAGACCGGAAGTTATCTAAGATACAAAACATGCGCAGGATGGGCTCCTGACATACGCAGCACTTTTCCCCTTCGAGGCTCAAATAAGTTATTACTTGTAACCTTTTCAGTCATTAATTCAGGCAGCATACACAGGCAGGAAGGTAAAAGACATCTGTAATAAAGAGTAATTCATATTTTTCTGCTCTGTCTATAAGCAACGTTTTCTACAATGAGCAATTCTCGTTTTCCCGCCTTTCCAGGTTCTTTACAATGCAGCTCTAAAAAACCTCTGTTGAACGGCTCCTATTTGAAGAACGGAGCTGCGGCAGGGCGATTCAAGTATTTAGCCTGCGTCAATGACTTCGGTAACTGCACTAAACTTGCTTGTGAATATGAAAAACATGGAGATCATGAGTTTGCCTACCTGTTGGACGGCAATGTTTCATTGTGACCTGTCGAAGTGAGAAATCATGCGAAACTATGAGGCAGCCATATATCGTTCCACTAAAGTTGGCAAAGTTGGAGTGGTCAGGTAGGAGTGTTAACTTACAAATGTTACGTTTGCTCAAACTGACACTCGCATTCTTTGCCCGAAGTTTTCTTATCTTGGGTCAAAAACAGTGTTAAAGTGTCCAACTAAAATCCTTTTAGCCATTTTAGGAAATGAAATTCCCCTTATTCCTTACAGATATTAATAAGCAAATGTTTCTTTATTTAACTTCTTCTTAGCCACCTTTAAACGAATCAAATAGGTGTTGGAGTAACCCATTTCAAGCCTTAATTTTACATGGAAACATGTTCTAAATTCCAGTTCAAGGAAACTTGTTTGCCCCACCTTTCCCCAAAGGGAAACTTCGAACCCCCCACCCCTCTCGAGAAAGTTTTTCCATGCTGGGGAGGTGCTGACGCATCTATTTACGCGATATACAGGTGAGAACAACATTGAGTAGTTTGACCCCTCTAGATATTTAAAATGATNAGCCGTAGAGTAAAAAAGCAACAGGAGGGGGTGAGGGTGGAAATAAAGAGTAGCAACAATTTCTTTATGGCTTGGGGCAAAATGCATGGTAAAGATTAAGTTAAAAAAGACCGGAAGTTATCTAAGATACAAAACATGCGCAGGATGGGCTCCTGACATGCGCAGCACTTTTCCTCTTTGAGGCTCAAATAAGTTATTACTTGTAACCTTTTCAGTCATTAATTCAGGCAGCATACACAGGCAGGAAGGTAAAAGACATCTGTAATAAAGAGTAATTCATATTTTTCTGCTCTGTCTATAAGCAACGTTTTCTACAATGAGCAATTCTCGTTTTCCCGCCTTTCCAGGTTCTTTACAATGTAGCTCTCAAAAACCTCTGTTGAACGGCTCATATTTGAAGAACGGAGCTGCGGCAGGGCGATTTAAGTATTTAGCCAGCGTCAATGACTTTGGTAACTGCACTAAACTTGCTTGTGAATATGAAAAACATGGAGATCATGAGTTTGCCTACCTGTTGGACGGCCAATGTTTCATTGTGACCTGTCGAAGTGAGAAATCATGCGAAACTATGAGGCAGCCATATATCGTTCCACTAAAGTTGGCAAAGTTGGAGTGGTCAGGTAGGAGTGTTAACTTACAAATGTTACGTTTGCTCAAACTGACACTCGCATTCTTTGCCCGAAGTTTTCTTATCTTGGGTCAAAAACAGTGTTAAAGTGTCCAACTAAAATCCTTTTAGCCATTTTAGGAAATGAAATTCCCCTTATTCCTTACAGATATTAATAAGCAAATGTTTCTTTATTTAACTTCTTCTTAGCCACCTTTAAACGAATCAAATAGGTGTTGGAGTAACCCATTTCAAGCCTTAATTTTACATGGAAACATGTTCTAAATTCCAGTTCAATGAAACTTGTTTGCCCCACCTTTCCCCAAAGGGAAACTTCGAACCCCCCACCCCTCTCGAGAAAGTTTTTCCATGCTGGGGAGGTGCTGACGCATCTATTTACGCGATATACAGGTGAGAACAACATTGAGTAGTTTGACCCCTCTAGATATTTAAAATGATGGGCAAAATTTTGTACAGTTGCTAATTTTAAGATGGTATCAATAGAAATTAAGAACTCTTATTTTCTATGGATATTATCAAAATATACAACGAGCTGTCCCTCATTTTCGGCGAAGTTCATAGCTGATTTTTTTAAACTCGCGCTACGGACTTCGCCGAAAAGGCGGGACTGCCCGCCGTTCATGATCACTAGTGCGAGAGTAAGTTTCACAATTTTTTTTAATCAATTGCAAAGTAAGGCAAAGCCTTCACCATTTCCCTTACAGAAGCGCCTCCTGAAACTCCTTCATCTCGCGGCAATGTTTCAACAGCTCCAACTTCCACGACACCAACGAAGAAACCGGCCACAAATTCTACCAAAGGACCTCAAAGAAGTAGGAGCGAAGGAATATGCTTAACGAAACCTAGATAGTACATAGTAGTAACACTGCAACAGGGTTTTGAGTGGCTGAACTTCAAAATATGAAAAAAAGATTTTTTATCGTGAATCATTTGAAAATGGTCACTTTTTTGGTGTTTTATCCCGAGCTATTGTTGACCGAAAAAGCGTTAAGGCAACTTAAATCGGTTGGAAGCGATCTTCGTATAGCCAGAGATCGCAAACACTAGAGAGCTTTCGTAGTGGGAGTGGTGACGAGATACGCCCCTACTGTGAGAAAAAAACAAGGCTTTTAAAATTGATGCGACATTATCCTCTGAAAGATTCCAAGCAACGAAAACCTCAGGCAAATGTCTCTTTGCAATTTCGAAAACAAGCTATGACCTAAAAACTTCCTAATCAGTTTTGGCACACCTATGTGCATGTCAACGGTCGAAACCGGTCGTTAAAATGAAATTTGTGTCACGTAGAAAGCATTTTGAAAACTTTGAAGAGAGGTTGAGATAGGAAAAGAGGCATCAAGAGCAGTTCGTTCGAAATCGTCGTCTAATGATGACAAGACAAGTAAATTTGAAGCACTTAGCTTTGCCACGTTTGTTATTTTTTTTCTCTTTTCTGACCAGTATATGTTGCGTTTCAGTTGCACCGGGACAGAGAGGTCCAGATGGAAAAGTCGCTATGACCACAGAGCACAGGCTTCTCCAGGATATAATTTACACCGACAGCTATAATAGAGAGGTCCGACCAGCACTTCGCGATAGTGATGTTGTCACGGTCCTTTTTGGAGTGAAGCTTGTCCAGATCGTGGACGTGGTAAGTGTCGTCATGAGAATTACATTTGTGAAATAGATATTCCAGTTGAGGTTACAACAACTGCTTTTTACGGGCATTTAAAGATAACAAGGCTGATATGTTATTGTAAATCATCGCTTCTCCTTGATCAAGAAGAAAGTGGGGACACCAACACATTAAGACCCTCATTGCCACGCCCTGGCTTTTGAACGAAGAAAAAATTCTCCTTTGGAATGATCACAAGTATGGCAGTCGACATATCTTTCCAAGTAAAAAAATTAATTTAAAATTTGTATCTTTTTGGTCCAGTGTATAACATATGCGTTTCTAGTCTTTGCGTCTGTCTCATGACTCCCAGACTCCCTTATTTTCGGTTTCAAGCCTTACATTCGGTGGTCGCGTATTGAAAATGAACACCACATAAACAAAACTTATTTAACGCAGGTAACATTGCTATTTCAAATAAGAAACCGACCATACTTTAAACACAGTTAAACATCCAGGCTTATTGGCATGGGCACGAAACTACTCAACTGACAAGGTATGAATCGATCTAGCTGGGTACGAAACGACTGCTAACTTAACTTTTGTTCCTGATAGGATGAGAAAGCGGAGACCTTAAAAGTGAACGTCTGGACTACACAAGTAAGCAGAATGAGGCTCAAATCGGTTGTTGTGAGAACGCTTCTTGACTGACTGCTTTTGAGCTAATATTTCTCTCTTTCGTGTCCCTAAGAAATGGAAAGATCCCTTTCTGCAATGGAACCCTGATCATTACGATGGAATCAGCACAATCAACGTGGAACCAAATTTAGTTTGGCTGCCTGTCATTATACTTTACAACAAGTAAGGCTGCATTTCCTTAGGAACTCATCACTATTTACCGCCTGGGAGGGGGCTGGAGGGTTTTGGTCGAGTCACGATAAAATTTACCTGATCCCCCCCTGGGGCTATGCAATAATGTTATGACCCCCCCTCGCTTCATTGATTGGCAGTTAATTTTCTATAGTCCTCCTCTATACTCTATTGGCGACGACTTATCCCCCTTCCATTTTCTCTTGCAAAAATCCTTTTTCTCCCCCCGGCGATAAATAATATCTGGTCCCTTAAATACTGTTTTTTACTCTGGAGACAAGCCTGATTTTTTTCAATCTGTCTTGCACGCGGAGCGGTGGACCATTTCGACGATCAAAGACCATTATCTAGTACCTTACAATGATAAAACGCCCAAAGCGATTTTTTTTTTCAATTATTGGAGAAAGGGAATGGAAGATAATGTTTCTTTTTCGCATTTGGATCGCGTGGTCGGCGGTTGAGTCCTGTGCGAGGTCACTGCACCGAGTTCATGCAAGATATTTTAAATATCAAGGCGGATCCGACATCTCATAAGGTTTAATTAGGTACCGGTGAGCTGTAAGGACTGAAAGGTTGTTGACATTTAATTCAGTGTAACCACGGTGATGATTTTTTCCCTTGAAATATTTTTAGCGCTGCCAAGGGTTTCACTGGTGGACTGGAAAAGTACAAGACAAAAGTACTAATTGACAGCAATGGTACAGTCACATGGTATTCCGCGACGCAGTTCATTTCGTCCTGTAAACAGAATATCCGCTTCTTTCCTTTTGACGAGCAATTCTGTTATTTAAAATTTGGGTAAGTGTGAGTGCCAGTTTTTCTAACATTTCCCTGGTCTTTGGTAACTAAATCTCAGTTTATCAAAATCTCTCCCTTCGACTTGTGTTCTCTCTTATAGATCTTGGACTTATAATGTGAAGTATCTTGACATGACAACGAATCATACAACCGCTGACATGTCGGCTTGGATAAAAAATGGCGAATGGGAGGTGATAGATGTTCCAGTTAAGAAAAACCAGCTCTATTATGCATGCTGCCCTGACCCGTACGCTGACATCACCTACACTATCCACATGAAGAGGAAGGTACTTTACTACATATTCAACCTGATCATCCCTACAACCATCATCGTCTTCTTTATTCTGGTCGGCTTCTGTCTTCCGCCGGACACCGGGGAGAGAATCACTCTGAACATCACTGTGCTGCTGACAATGACAGTGTTTTTGAACATTGCGTCTAACACCCTGCCCTCCACCTCGGACAGCCTTCCTCTCCTGGGGGACTATTACCTGATTCTTATGATCATGGTTTGCTTTGCGATTCTCTCCACTTGTGTTGTCCTTCGGTATTACTATGCAACGCCAACGCGCATGCCCGAGCGTCTGCGCGTGATAATAAATGAATGGATTGCGTCGCTACTCTTTTTCGTCATTACGAAGAAACCCAAGAACAAAGTTATCAGTCAGTGGTGTAGAAAACGAACCGAAGAGGCGTGTTACGACTGCCACGAGTCTAACAACTTTATGGCTGCGCAGAGCTTTATTGTCCAAAACGAGAACAACACCGCCGAGGAACGAATTGCTCTGATCGAAATAACGCCAAAAAATCACCACACGCGAGCCAATGGGATACAAAATGAACATCGAAAGACGCCGTCTAGTGCATCACACCAGAAATCCAAGAGTGAGCCAGCCATCAATCTGAGCAGTGGAGCGTCAACAGCTTCAGAAAGGCGGTTGAGAAGGCGAAAGATGTCCGTACTTCCCAAACGTGGTAACGCTTTAAATACCCTACAAAACAGAGTTATGGAAGGACTTGGAGTCCTAACTCGCCGCGTTAAAGAAGACAACGAAACAGAAGAGATTGTTTTGGAATGGCAATTCGCAGCGATTGTTCTCGATCGTTTGTTTTTTGTCCTGTACTCAATCACTTTCATCATTCCTTTGTTTGTTTTCTTCTACGCTTCGCCGACTCCACCAGTCAGCAAAGTGGAACCACAGTAAGAAAAACGTCTGTCGCCTACTGAGTGACTAGCCTTACGACGAGACGATCAGATGTCATGAATGGAATGGATTCATATCACTTTAATTGTCTATGACACTAGCATGAGTAACTTCACAACTCAACGCCTGTGCTCCGGGCTCTAACTCGTTCCCAGGCGTCTTCATAACACGTGCGCCAGGGGTATAAAAAGAATGATGAAAGGTGAGAGAGGAAAGACTTTTTTCACCTCTCGCTTTTTTCTCACCCATCACACTTCGCACTCCCGCGTCAATAGTGTTGAGCCCGCGTTGTTGAGATGATTGGGATGAGTTATCTCCAGGCTGGAGTACGCTCCGCACGTGGCAAAGAATAGAGGCTTGGGTTGACAATCTACATAAAAGTTAAAATAACTTCTGGGAAGCACTATTACCAAAATTGACCCTGCACGGCGACAAAAGCTATTTAATAACGAGAGGCCACGACTTAAAAATTAAACAGAGAAGTTCAAAATAAAATCAGCTGGTGTCTTTTAATATTTCTAATGTAATACAAAACTGTAAGACGTAAAATATTACTATAACAATGATACACTTAAAAAAATAAAAGTAAACATTACATTAGTTAAAATTATTTTCGTTTCTTTTAATAGGAAAGAAAATATGAAAGTACGAACACAAAAATAATTATAAAAAACATGTAAACAACTGAAACAATTTCGATGATAATTACAAAATTAATTTCACTTTGTGACTCGAATGAAAACGTCTGCATATAAAGATTTGAGAATTTCACGTAAGTAGAAATCGCTGGGCTTTGATATATTATAACTATTTACAATACTATTTACAACAGTCAAGGCTATTATCAATAATCAATACACAAATATTAGGATTACCATTACTGTCAATGTACAATATACCTCTCCTGTCTTAAATGAAAAAAAACTCTATCTCAGCAGTCATATGTAGCAGGTCATTTCTCGAATCTTGTAAACCTAAGCCTTGATATTTTATAATCCGTAAATTACGATCCATGTTAATATTTCTTTTTTCTAGTCCCTTCTTGATCGTTTATTTGGTGTATTTCTCTTACCGAACAAATACTTTATAGGTCGTTTATCACGGCGAAAGAAAATGACTCAAACTTTGGCCACTAGGCTTTGTTAAAAGAAAGCCATAAGAGACCAGTCATTATTTAGCACCTGGATCAGGGGAGGGATTAGCTGCCGCTAACCGAGTATTGAAGGGGGAGGGGTGGGGGTGGGACTATGGAAAATAGGTTGCCAATGAGGAAGTAAATGTTATTGTGACACAACCAAAATCCTCTGACCCCCACCCCCCAGGCGATATATCCCTTAGATAAGTCCCTCAGATAAGTCGTTCATCTTTCTCAATTGGTCCCATGGGATACGCTCCGCCTTTGTACTCTTCATCAGATGGGTAATACCTGCCGCTCATTTTACTCATCTGCTTCTTACGATACAAGAACAACAAAACAGCGACTATTAAAACCACAAGAAGCACGAACCCTATGGACAAACCCAGCTCCATTTGCCTGTCTTGCTGGCGAGCAGCTGGCGTAGGTTCTATTATGATCTGTAGTTCGCTCTCGCACAAAACGCCCGTAAAACCAGACGCGCATGCGCAGGTGTAATTACCATAAGTATCCACACATTGTGCGGCATTTTGACACTCGTGTTCACCAGTTTCGCATTCGTCTACGTTGACGTCACAACGAAATCCTCGGAAACCTGTTCCACTACAGCTGCAGTAGAAGCCATTTACAAGATCGACACATTGTCCATTATGGATGCACGGGTCACTAGCGCATTCATCGATGTTCACGTCGCAGGTTTTGCCGCTGTAACCCGCCTTGCACGTGCATAGGTAAGAACCGTCGTTGTTTCGACACTTCCCACCGTTTAAACATGGTGAGAATGCCACGCATTCATTTACATCATTCTCACAATACGTTCCCTGGTATCCATACCCCGAGCAATCGCACCAATACGAGCCCACGGTATTGTTACATTCACCGTGAATACACGGAGACAAGGTGCACTCGTCTACGTCTTCCTGACATCGTGAACCATTGAACCCAGTGCCTGCGCAGTCACAGTGAAAGCTGTTGACTCCATCAGAACAAATTCCGCCATTCTGACAAGGGGGAGGAGAACAATCATCAACATTGACTTCACATCGCATTCCAGTAAATCCAGGAACACAGCTACAGTTGTATTCATTGATTAAATCTACGCAAGTAGCACCGTTCACACAAGGACTAGAACTACACTCGTCTATATTACCTCGGCAGTTTTTACCACTGTAACCGGGCACACAGCTGCAAGAGAAATCTCCAACAAGATCAGTGCAAGTCGCTCCATTCTGGCAAGGCTGCGATGCACATTCATTGATATCTACCTCGCAGTTTCTTCCCGAGTAACCACGCGCGCAGCCACACGTGTAATTGGCTACAGCATCCATGCACGTGGCACCGTGTTTACACGGATTTGACGCGCACTCGTCAATATTCGTCTCGCAATTTCTTCCAGTGTATCCCGATACACAAGCACAATTATACCTTGCGATCAAGTCCGAACAGGTCCCGCCATGTTGACATGGGTTTGAAGAGCACTCATTGATGTTGACTTCACAATTCTTCCCTGTGAAACCCACAACGCACTGACAACTGTGACCATCTACAAGGTCGGAACACGTTGCATTATTCTTGCAAGGATCAGAAGCACATTCATCAATATTTATCGCACAGTTCCTTCCAGTAAATCCCGCTGGACATTTACAGCTGTAGTTACCAATGTGATCTGAACATGTTGCACCATTTTGACAAGGATCGGGAGAGCAATCGTCGATGTTATTATCACAGTTGGTACCAGTAAAACCACTGACGCAGTTACACTTGTACTTTCCTATTAGATCAGTACAAGTTCCTTGGTTTTCACACGGGCTCGACGCACATTCGTCGATCTCCACTTCGCAGTTTCTGCCTATGAAACCCAATGAACATCTGCAACTGTAGTTTCCTAACAAGTCTACACATGTCGCATTGTTCAAGCACTGGTTCGCAGAGCATTCATCGATGTCCACGTCGCAATTTCTGCCACTGTAACCCGCAACACAGTTACAGGTGTAATTTCCAACAAGATCAGAACATGTACCGTGATTTCCACACGGATTGGAAGAGCACTCATTTATATCGACTTCGCAGTCCCTGCCAGTATAACCAGATATACAATTACAGCTGTAATTCCCAATCAGATCTAAACATGTACTACTATGAGCACAAGGGTTTGAAGAGCATTCATTTATATCGACCTCGCAGTTTCTCCCGCTGAAACCAGAAACACAGCTACAAGTGTAATTACCAATAAGATCTAAACATGTACAACTATGAGCACAAGGGTTTGAAGAGCATTCATTTATATCGACCTCGCAGTTTCTCCCGCTGAAACCAGAAACACAGCTACAAGTGTAATTACCAATAAGATCTAAACATGTACCACTATGAGCACAAGGGTTTGAAGAGCATTCATTTATATCGACCTCGCAGTTTCTCCCGCTGAAACCAGAAACACAGCTACAAGTGTAATTACCAATAAGATCTAAACATGTGCCGTGGCGTCTGCAAGGATTTGAAGAACATTCATTGATGTCCACCTCACAATTTCTACCCGTGTAACCTTCCAAGCAGTCACAACTGTAATTACCCTGCACATCAGTACATGTAGCATTATTCGAGCAAGGAACAGAAGCGCACTCGTCAATATTTGTCTCGCAATTTCTCCCAGTGAAGCCTAATGGACACCGACAACTGTAATTGGCGACGAGATCGATGCAGGTTGCATTGTTCTGGCAAGGGCCTAGTGCACAGTCATCGATGTTTATTTCGCAATTTCGTCCGGTAAATCCACGTAGACATACACAGCTGTGGTTTCCTATTAGATCGTAACACGTTCCTTGATTAAAACATGGATTTAGGGCACATTCGTTGATGTCAGAGCCACAATCGCTTCCCGTAAATCCGACGGGACACTGGCAACTGTGCCTACCTACTAAATCGTTGCAAGTAGCATTGTTAAGGCACGGATTTGACGAGCACTCGTCGATGTCTAAGCTACAATTTCTTCCTGTAAATCCCCGTAAACAGGTACAGCTGTAAGTACCAATCAGATCTAGGCAGGTTCCTTGATTTAAACAAGGTTTCGGAGAACACTCATCGACGTTTGTTTCACAGTTGCTACCAGAAAAACCCATGGGACAGTTGCAGCTGTAAGCAGCAATTTGATCAATGCATGTCGCATTATTTTGACAAGGGTAAAGGGCGCATTCGTCGATATCGACTGTACAATTCTTGCCGGAGAAACCCGGGGAACAAAGGCAACTGTAGTTTCCAACGCCATCAGTGCAAGTGCCCTGATTCGAGCAAGGATTGGGAGAGCAATGGTCGATATCGGTTTCACAATTCCTTCCAGTGTAACCCAAGGGACAACTACAACTATAATTGCCAACACGGTTGGTACACGTCGCATTGTGTAGGCAAGGGTGTGGAGAACATTCGTCGATGTCAACATCACAGTTCTTTCCTGCATAGCCAATTGAACATTGACAACTGTAGTTGCCAACTAGGTCCACACACGTAGCGTTGTTCAAGCACGGACTTGAAAAACATTCGTCGAAATCTACTTCACACTTTCTGCCGGTGAAACCTGATACACAGCTACAACTGTAGTTACCCACTGAGTCAAGGCACGTCGCGCCATGCCTGCACGGATTTGGGGAACACTCATCAATATCAATGTCGCAATTTCTACCTGTATAGCCCACGGAGCACTGACAACTATAGTTGGCTATTAAATCAATACATGTTCCCTGGTTCGCGCAAGAATTAGGCGAGCAATCATCTATGTTCAACTCACAATCTCTTCCAGAAAAACCCATAGAACACTGACAGGAATAATTGCCTTGTAGATCTGTACATGATCCATTGTTTCTACATGGTGTACTGTTACATTCATTGATATCACTTTCACAGTCCTTTCCAGTGAATCCTACAGTGCAATCACATCTGTAACCTCCCATTATTTCATGGCAGGTTGCATTATTATGACACGGGTCGGACTGGCAGTGAGAAATCTGAGTTTCGCAATAAAGACCAGTATATCCCTGTGCGCACACACATTCAAACCCACGTGTGACATTAACACACGTTGCACCATTTGTGCAGTTATTAGCCGAGCAGTCCGGTATGCGAATATCACATTTATCACCTATCCAACCAGGATCACACGTGCAATTGATGCCATCCCAAGATGGAATACAAACACTGTGAGCTGGGCAGGGATCAGGTGAGCAGGAGGAGTTTCCTTGGCAACCTACTGTTACTTGCTTCCTACTAACGCCCAGGCCTCTCTGAGAGTGAGACGAAAGATAATGGACACGTCGAGAGTTGAACATGATGTCCTTTATGCATCCCTTGAAATTCTTGAGTGCTGTCAGACCTGTAATGGAACATTCACATTGGATTAATCTGTGTAAAAACAGCCTGAAAAATAACATATATTGGCTTAAAGGCACAAATAGCGAATGGGTCGCGAAAAAAGTAGAGCCAAATTCAATTTTGTTGAGATTATGTTAAGTTTAAGCCGTGTTGATTTGTTTATTTATGCTTAATCTAAGATTGGTCAGGCATCCCTAGCTAGGATAGCCGCGGAGGCTGGGAACGAAAGAAAAACATTATGGGATAAGAGAAAAAAGCACATGGAGAGAGTTGGAAAACTTAGAGAAGTCGGAATAAAATTGTTTAGTTTATTCAATTGAAAGTGAGTCGCGAGTATATTGTCAGAAGAAGCATTTCCGACAATTTTAAAAAAAAGGTTGTGATAATCTCTGAGTACCTTTAGGCTGTGGTACACCAGGCGGGACTCCCCCAATATCCACAGACACCACAGGATCCTGAGCAGCATCAAACTGTCCGTCTGCTCCGGGAAGGTCTCCCCGTGCTGTCATCATGCCATCTAAGTCCAGTGTTATGCGCTTATATCTTCTGGTCCAGGTCACGTAATGCCAGTCACCGTCAGACACAACTTTGTTGATCGAAAGCGAAATTGATCCTAAAATTCGAGTAAAGGTGGATAAGAGACTGACGCTCTTATTTTAAACATCGGACTAAAAGGTAAAGTCTGTTTACGAGCCTAGTGGCCCATTAGGCCGGTGCTTAACTCCGGTTTCTGTTGCATGAAGCGACTAGGAGTATTTCTACTACCCCCTGGATGGGATGCTAGTCCATCGCAGAGTTACCCCCAGCATTAAATTGCCGGTACCCATTTATACACCTGGGTGAAGAGAGGCACTGTGAGAGTAAAGTGTCTTGCTTAAGAACACAACACAATGTCCTGGCCGGGGCTCGAACCCGGACCACTCGATCCGGAGTAGAGCGCACTAACCATGAGGCCACCAAGGCTTACATCAATTTCATAAAAATGGAGCCTTGTTTGATTAACACTGAAAGCTTTGAAACTTTGAAACTGGGGAGTTTCGAAAAAAAAATCACAGAGAAAATATTTAACGCCCAGGATGAAAGGCACATTTACCATACCTGAGCCAAGGTCAGCGGTAAATCTAGCCTGACCGGAAGTGACTGCAAGAAGCAGGAATTCTGTATTGCCTCCCCCAGGTCTCCGCCCGGCATACATTAGTAACCCGTCCATTTCACGAGTCCTGAACCACATCGACCCACTCTGACCAAAACTCCACTCAGACGAGTTCAATGTTAGTTCCACTCGGCTGTTATTCGATAAGAATGAAGTCTCGGAAACTACAGTAGGTAGGAAAACAAACTTCAGAAAACAAAACTGACATCGATGGGTAAAATAACAGAAGATTACGACGGAAAGCCGAGCCACTACAACCTACTCGGAAAGTCAGACTTTGCCAATTTGCCCATATTGTGTCCATACTGTTATGGCCAAAATTGGAATGACCGTGATGCCACAGGACTACAGTTATGGAGATATGAATAATTTCTTTCACGTTTCTCTGCACACATCCGGGAGCGTAGCAATGGGGGTATATAACCGTAACAATCACCCTCCCTCTGAGAGTTTATTTTTTCAAGTCATTAACAAACCGACCCCTGACCTCGGGTGATGAGGATGCGCGGATCCAAAGAAATTTCTTACAGTACTAGAAGCTCCATTTGCTTGTCCTTCTCGCCGCATGAACTCTGGCCCTCAAAGCAACAGGACAGAGTAGCTACTTCATCACAGGTGCGCAGAAATTTATATTCATGACCACACCCTTGCCGTAACATCATCGGTAAAAAGTGTTTTACAGGCGCATGGCAAAAGTAAGTAATAATTATGTAATTAGGAAAGCCATCTCACCATTTTGACACTGACTCCCGACAAAATCTTCCAAACAGTGACACTGAAACCCAGTCCAGCTAGCATCACACGCACCTCCGTTTGTACAGGATTCTAGTGCGCAGTTCTCGTCCTTCTTACAGCTCGACTTTGGCAGCGAATACCCACCGTTCGTCTGCGCGGTTTCAAACGTTGTCAAATTTCCATTTAAAATTACGTTTCTTGAACAACCACTAAACGTCGACTGCTTGTTATTTAGAGAAAGGAGTAAATCGCTAAACCTGCTCAAAAGACCTCCCATGTATAGAGTGTTCTCAAGATCTGCAATTGGCTGAGAAACTCGAGGCGGGGCAAGAACTGCGTGATATGTGTTCACGTCAATCGCAACACTACCGGAAGTGACGTTGATATACAAGCTATGCCATTTTCCGTCAGAGAGATTGCGACCGACGTCAAGGTAGTTTTTTTCGAAGTGAGACTTCACGTATGCTACACGTAAACGTCCATTGTTCAAGGCTACACCAAAATCTCCTTGCCCTGACTGGAAATAAAATCAAATTTGACGTTGACTACACTGATCTCGAGAGATTTCCTGTAAAACTAGTTGACTGAACAACTTTATGTAATAGGTCACTAAACTGCAATTATTGAAAAAGGCATGTCAAGGGCAGAGTCGCCTCTGATGACGACTTCCGCAAGCTAGGGTTGTCAAGACGTCAGTCACTACTATCGACTTCTGTTCTTCCCAAGACCATCCTTTCCCAGTCGATCAGACCACACGGTCAAATAACACTCCTTGCTACAAAGCATTTACGAAAAACTGCAGCGACCACAACGTTTATTTTTGACACGATAAAAAAATAATAATCATGATAAATGGGCGTAAAGCACACGATAACGCAACGCCCAAGTTCTAATTGGTTTTGGTTTTCAATCTGATTGGTGGAGTTGATGGCGCGATTTTTGTTCCATAACTCACGACAAGTAGTGAAACAAAAGCCTACATTCTTAGTTTCGACGCTTATAACCCTCTTACTCTCAAGATCTAAATACAAATTCTCTACACCTCTGCCAAACATTTCTAATAGATACTCTGAGAATTTAGTGTTCTGTCAAACAATATCCTTAAGTTAATCTTTTTCTGTTTTCTCATCACTTTTCTGCCTGAAAGTGTATTGTCACTGTAAGGATAAAATCGTTGAGTTTTCGCTCATACATGGGAGTGAAATGGTTAATTTATACTGCCCCACCAACAGTTCACACTGTCCGTGAAGTCAACCTACCCCAGTGTAAGCGAGCACTCCACTTGGAAGAGTAGGATCAATTGAAAACTCCAAAGAAAACGAAGTGATTGCAGCAGCTGAAATGAATTTTAAACCAGAATTGTCATCACTGTCAAAAGTGGCTGTGACTTGATGCTCGCAAAACGAGCCCACGAAACCTTGAAGACACTCACAGCGGTACCTCACCCACTCATCTACACATGCGCCACCATGTTTGCATCCATGATTGCTACATACGTCCCTTCGCTGACAACCGGTGGAGACTAGGTGCGCTTGTGCCAACACATTCTGTAGACTCACTTCGATATTGTTATATAAAAAGTCCTAATAAGAAGATCCAAACAGAAAGATTAGACTTTTGCTGCCCAGCCCAGAGGGGGTGGGGAGCGCCTGGAATCACAGTCAGTAGTTGAGTCTTAATCCCAGCCATAAGCACGTGAGAGGTTTTCATTGGTTTCCATGGTACGAGACCAAACCATCTGGATTACTGTTACTCCTCCTAAGGGGGATGCTAGCTCTTCCTGGATTACCCCCCTACCCCCCCTATAACCCCATTGGTGTTACGTCACGTTTCGCTAAGAATTTGCTGGTTCCCATATTCCCATATTTCCTGAGAGGAGAAAACCCCTTGCGAGATTTAAGGGCTTTTTCCAAGACTCGAGGGAGGACTTCTAGATACCAAAGCAAGTGTGCTAACTACTGGGTGATAACATCTCCAACGACTTTGGGTATGTAGCGAATACGAAGGGAACTATGAATGTCAAAAAAAAAGAAAATAAGGGAAAAAAGGCTTCTGCCTTAAAAAATACTGACCCCCTTGTCACTCCATCTCGAGCTTATTAAGACAGGCACTGTTTTCAACTTCCCATTATAACATTGCCAACAAATACCTTGATGCATCCCACAAATGAACCATCAGTCGTGAGTTGTTGTCTTATTTGTGGCACCAGCTGTCTTACTCCTCCGAAATGGGGAAGACCAGCGTACTGCGAGCTAGCATCGGAGGTGGTTAAAACAGACGCTGATAAACAGTCTGCATTGCACGTGTCCTCGTCAATAGATATACTGGCCTGGGGACCAGTTATCTTCAGAGTGATTTGGTGCCAGGTTCCATCGTTGAGTCCCCTGCCTACCTTGGTCGTTGCAGTGTCTAGGCCAGTATTGAGTGACAGGAGAATAGAGCCGTTTGTTAGCTCTACAATTACGTGATCCGGATGTTCTTTTGTGAGATCCTGGCAGAAACAAATATGTCTTTTTTATAATTCATTTTTAATAAATAGAAAAAGAAATCCTAATGCCAAATCAAATGCAGTGGTTATAGGGGTGAGGGGGTTCGAATAAAGTGTCAAAAGAAATCCCAAATGAAATTCTGTCGTTTCACAAAGATACGCCCTCTAATTGATTCAAAAACAAAAACAAAAAAAAGGAAAAAACGCGACAGACCAAACTAATACATGCATATCGCCACAGGGTCATTTGCCTTTTCCCGTGCTTTTCACAATTTTTTTGCCATTACTTCGAGTTCTCGTTGGTTCACTGTCAAAATTTTTTCTTTCCTACACCCTTCTTATGCAATAACTTTAATTTTACCTCACGACATTCACACGAAAAGCGCTATAAATAGTTTGTCTTCAATTCTACTTACCGCCCCTTGATAGAACAAAAGTCCAGATGGCAGCGTAGTTCGGAATCTAAATGACAAAAGATCCGACGGGAACAATGTAAATCCCAAAACAGGAAGATACGAGCCTTGCTGGAAGCTCACCGTAAAGAGAACTTCACATGACTTCCCTCGATAACCATCAACACATTGACACTCATAGCGATCGACATTGTTAACACATGTGCCGCCATTTTTACACGGATTAGAGGCGCATTCATTGATATCGACTTCACAGGTAAAACCGGTATAACCCGGTTTACAGTCACAAGAAAAGCCACTTCCTCCTAGTCTGCAAATCCCTCCGTTTTTACATGGCTGCGCAGAACAGTTATTCACAGGAATCTCGCAGTTTTTACCAGAAAAGCTTGCGGTACACGTGCATTGGTAGCCATTCACAAAATCCTCGCACGTGCCTTGATTCTGGCAAGGCTCATCAAGACACTCGTCCACGTGCTTGTCACAATTTGCGCCCGTGAAGCCCGCTAAACACGTGCAGTTATAACCTCCGGGCATGTTGTGGCATGTGCCGAGATTTCCACAAGGTGACGTACGGCACTCGTCGACATCAAGGCCGCAGTAAGGACCAGTCCAACCGACTGAACACGTGCAATTCAACTTGTTACCATGAAGCGTACACGTGCCATTGTTTTGACATGGGTTGAGCTGACAAGATGAACTACTAAATTCACAATGGAGTCCTAAAGAACATAGAAATAATTTCGTTTTAAATTTGATGAAGGATTGGAAGTAACTTTGATACCGTTAAAAGCTATGTCACCAAGAAGGAAATAGAGTGGGCCAGCAACTGACTAACAAACAAACAAACAAACAAATAGAAAAACAATGACAAAGTGAAACCACTTCTTGTATCAGAGCAAAAGGGAACTCCATAATTTTCAGAAAATTACTCTAGAGTATATCACAACATGCACAACTTTCTCAAGACAAGCTAGTCTGTGCTTGTTTACCAGGTGAAAATATCTGATTTGGAATTAAATATAACCTTGAAATCCTGCTTGACAAGTGCAGGAATAACCTGCAAGTCCAACACTCTCTACACAAGTACCACCATTTTGGCATGGGTTGGACAGACATTCAATAATGTTTGCTTCACACTGTCTCCCAATGAAACCAGCTGGGCAGTTGCAAGTAAAACCATATATTTTATCTGTACATGTGCCACCATTAAAACAAGGATAAGATGCACACTCATCTGTGTTATTTTCACAGCGGTGCCCTTCAAAGCCTGGAGCACAGGTGCAGTTGAACTCACCTATATGTAGAATTTCAGAAGCTTGATCAGTTTCCATTGCATTTAATTGTATGAAACTTTTATGAGGTAAATAATCTCAATTAACCCTTAGGAGCTCAGAGTCAACTTGTGAAAGACTGTTCCAAAGTGATGAGTGACCTGATTCTTAGTTCCGTGCAGTATTTTCACATATTTAGACTGAACAAATATTAACTCCTTCCTGAAGTGATATGATCAGGCACAGCTCAGATTTCAGTCATATACTTCAAGCTACATGCACATGCACATCATCAAAAGGAATTTGTTGCTAATTCAAGTCTGGGGGGAAGTGAAGGATGAAGGAGTTTGACTTGATGTGTAAATACTGTAACTGGCAATAAAAACACCGCTATTATGCACCTCAAGGGCGTGGAAAGAGCCATGCCTTACCCTTCTACAAGTTACTTGAGAAGCAAGTTAATGCTCCAGTTGTCTTTTTCTGAATGTTTTGAATTTCCCTATTAATGGGTCTGAAATTTTTTTCCAGCCTTATTTTCACTTCTGCTTAAGTAGTATTTATCACTGCAAAAATTGCTTTCATATTCATTTGAATTTTTCCATAATACTGCTCAAGGTATTGAGTCATTGTTCAAAGGAAATCAGCCTAGTCTACAGTTTGGAGTATATCATTAATTTTACATATTTATGTTTAGTATTTTGAGTTGGTTCTCACATTGATTCAAGTGTTGATAATATCAGGGCCACACCTATCATTTCACCTAAACTTAAACCTCACCTTGAAAGGTGTTACAAGTTGCTCCATTTAGACATGGCTGCCCAAAACAATAATCAATGTCAACATTACAGGTTTGACCAGTTTTGCCAACAGGACAAATGCACTGATAATTGTTCACTCCATCCACACACTGTTGAAATGATGGACATCTGTTTGGAAGACAGTCATCAATATTCTCTTCACAATTAGGACCAGTAAAGCCCACGGTACAAGTGCAGTTATAACTGAAAGATAATCAATACATGAGTAAAAGCATTAATTCACCATAACTGCACTATGATAATCACAATCACAGGAGCACAATGAGATTATGGTTTGTTACAGAGATGTCAGTTTTTAAAGATAATGTATGGACTTGCCCTGAAAGCAATCAGAAATTGTCTTCTTGATAGAGGCAAGGTAACCTCAAAGAAGAATAATACTTCTGTTAATAATAATCATTTGGGCAAAAGCACCCAATCTCGTGTCTATTTTTGGGAAGATTTAGCCATGAGAAAGCTATCACTGGTATTGCAAGTTGTACTTTTTAGAGGCTTCTTGTGGCCTAAGGCAGAGCTTTTCTTGAATAAATGTCTATGAGAGTTGACAGAATAAAACTTTCTTTAAAATGGGTAGCCTGTTCTTTCTATGGCAAAAACTTGCTTGTTTAAATGAAATTCACACTTTGCATTCTTCAGATACTACCTAGTCAGTCTAGGGTATTGAAAGCCGAAACTTTTCAGCAGTGCTTGAAAATCTGAGTGGCATAGGAAAGGTTGCGAGAGATTATTGTACAGAAAGTCATTTTTGTTATTAATTCTTAGTCTTCACATGTTAACACTTTCTTAATTTTCACTTTTGTAACAATTAAGCCCTCTTTGGGCTCATTATTGTGTCACTTGACTGTATAAGTAGAGTTTTTCAATTTTTTTCTTTATATTTTTGCAAGAGATCAATTTTTGATCTACAGGTGAGAGAGTTGGAAGGTACGCGTATACTTGTTACTGCTCCCCTGCCTTAAGAGCAAGTAACTTGGAGGTGCTGTCTATATCATCCAAATAGCTTACCCTGAAAGATTTTCCCTACAAGTTCCACCATTTTGACAAGGACTTCCATCACACTTTGTAACAGTCACATTGCAGAAAGGTCCAGAGAAACGTGCTGGGCACTGACATGTGTAGCCATTCACCCCATCAACGCATGTTCCACCATTATGACAAGCAAGATTTGTCTGGTTACATTCATCAATGTTTGTCTCACAATGTAATCCTAAAGGTAAATTAAGTAAAACAGACCATTGCAGGAAATATATTTTCAGCAATGAATTGTGATGATAATTATGGTGATGATAATTATGGTGATGATAATTATGGTGATGATAATTATGATGTTGACAGCAATGTAAGCAATGAACTGATTAATACATGCAATAATGCAGTAAATGGTTTGAACCCAGGGGTAACATGTGAATGTGTAGTGTGATCCTCTGGGTGAGTGTAGTTCTGAGAAGGACTGTTATCGGTGTTAGTTCTGAACAGAACGACCTAATTTTAATGATGGATCAAACAGATCAATCAAGACCAACTTACATCACTTGAGTCTTACAGCCAACAACATCACAGCAAAACTGACCAAGCATTTTACACAAACTGGACTAATAAAATTCTACTGACAACAACTATTCACTTGACTCTGATGATGACTTCTGCACAGGTTGTCAAAACATCAGTCACCACCACTGACAACAGTCCTTCTTAGGACTACACTCAACACTTTCACATGTGATAATGATAATTATTAAAAACTGGATCATTGGATAATGCAATTCAAGACTTTTTATTGGCTTAGCCATTATGGTATATGAGCCAATATACCATAATCTACAAATATGGTAAGCGTACGCGTCAGCTTAAAATCAAAAGGGAGCTAAAAAAATCCGGTTTCTTCTTACAAAATAATAATTTCTTGGGGGCGTTTTTAATAAAACAATTATTCCACTCGCGCTTGTTGGATATGAGATTATTATAGCCAACTTGGCGCTACGCGCCTCGTTGGCTATCTATCATCTCATATCCAACGCACGCTCGTGGAATAATTGTTAATTATGACACCAACTTTAGTTAACCCTTTATTATACCCCTAAAAGTGATTGGAATCTGATATCTCCTCACAGTATCATCTCCAAAACAAACATTAAGGTCATAATTAGTGTGAGATTGATCTTTGCAGTAATGAACAATACTTATTTATAAGCAGTACTTAAAATAAAGCCTGAAAAAAATTTAGGCCTGAATGGGATTTGAACCCATGACCTCTGAGATACCAGTGCAGTGCTCTCAGCCAACTGAGCTTACAAGCCAACTGGGAGCTGGTCATTGCATTGGTTCATAATAAACCCACGAAGTGACAAGTCAACACTGATTTTTGGGTGCAAAGGGTTGATTAGCTCTTCCTGGCAGTTTTTCATGGCCAATGTAAACATTGTGAACTGAGTGGCAGAAAAGAGGGCTACCACATTATAATCCTAGCTCCCTGATCACTTGACCAGGGGTTTCATCGATGTTTTCAGCATGAGGACAACTAGTTTCCATGGGTGGGCAAAACTTTTGAACTGAACTTGCTTTATAAGATAAACTTTCCTCCAGATCACCAAACCAGGTGGGCAAAACTGCCCTCAAAACTGGTCAATTTGCCCATTGCCCAGCCCTTAATGAAAACCCTGCTTGGCTATGTTTTCTTCATAAATTATGGGAAGGGGGAGAGCATCCACTGAATCAGTTTTGAGAGGGGATGGGGTGACTCTACCCTCAAAATGGTGGGTGGAACTAACTCCTATAAAACACTTCATGTTAAACAGAAAACACTCACACAGAACTGTACTAAAGGTACAACATTCACATCTTGGAAAAAAATTGGTCAAAGAGATCTATTTTGTTTAGTTCATTTTTGTACAGATAATATATTTGGTTTGCTGTTCACTTGCCTGTAAATCCAGCATGACAAATACACTGATACCCCCCTGTCTGAAATCTCTGACACACAGCATTATTTTGGCACAGGTTAAAATGACACATGTTGATCACAGCTTCACATCTTTTCCCTAAGGTAGTTTTAAAAGAAAAAAAAAATTAATAGAAAAAGGAATAATGGCTAAACCAAATGTGAGCATATCATACAACATGGAAGTTACTGAAACTGGATAAAACTTTAATTAAGTGTGTGACCCTCAACACCCTTTTAACTCAATTCTCAGCTTCACCTTGTGTGGGAATATTGAGGACCTAATGGTAAGTGATTTCAACTCTCAAAGGTTGCGATAAGCAGTAATGAAATATAACTCTACCTGTGAAACCAGATGGACAGCTACAAGTGTAGTTATTAATACCAATATCGGTACAAGTTCCATTAGAGTAGCAAGGATTGGAGGCACATTGCTGACCAATGACAATGTGCCAATCTGAAGGGTGAAATATAACACAACAGATTTTAAAGTTTAATTCTACAAAGGAGATATGATTTTCTACTAAAAAATGTAATGATGTTCAAGAACCAAGCAAAGATAATTAGACTAATCACTTTGTTAATTTTTTTTCAAGTTTTTCTTACACCCTCTCTAATTTTCTCCTTTCTCCAAAAAACTGAGTCCTTGCAATGGAAATTACAAATGGATCACCAAACCCCTCAGTGCTTAGAATTGAAGCCACCTTGGCTTAGGAATGTGGTTGTAAAATTGAAATTAGTGTGGTAATGATTATTTTTCAATAAGAAAATTGTTTTGATCCACCAAAATAAGCTGCAGACAAATTCAACAGATTGCAGAGAATGATATTTTAGGAGTAATCATTTCAGGGGAATCTGTGTTGAACCTCCTCCAATCAAAATATAGCAAAAATATATATATATATATATGTTACTGAGATTAAATCCTTAAACTCTTTCAACCATAAGCAGAGCTGTGGTCTAGCAGCACCCACTGGCCCCTGGCACCTCACTTTTGCTCTTAGGCAACTCAGGAATCTTAGTTTTTTCATAACCGCCCCACGGTTAGCTCAATTGGTTAGAGCGCCGGATTGTGTTGTGCAGGAGGTCAAGGGTTCGAGCCCCAGCCAGACCAATACTCATGGTCTTAAAATAACTGAGGAGAATTTGCTACTTTTCTATAATATCAAGAAATGGATAGATATTCTAGTCTTCTCGGATAAGGACGAATAAACTGTAGGCCCCATCTCCTGCAGGGTTAGGGGTAGGAGACATTAATTTCCCACGCACGAGATTACTGTGTGGTGGATGTCCTCCCCTGGGGTGGGATGGGTGGGTTTACTGGGCCCGCAGTAATTGGCACAAGCTGTTGCGGTGTCCCTCCCTGTCGGCGAATCTAATAAATTAATTTAAATGAAAAGCATGTGCTGGGCACCCTGGATTTCACAGTTTCAGAGCATTGTGCTCCCTTCAATTTTTCTTAGAGCACAGCCTTGCTTAAGATAGTCTCCCTCGCAGCTGTTTTTAGTCTCGTCACGCAACTCTCCTCCCCACAAACGGCTGTTCACATTCGAACAACATTGCTTTCCCTCTGTTGTCTTTGCAGCAATGAGATCACTGACATTGTTTCTTATGTGACCAATCAGAGCACAAGAGATTGTAATCAATATCGTTTTTCCCGTGTTTTCAAATTCTGCATTTGATCGTAGTTTCTTGATGGAGGAAACGCCAAATAAGGTTTTGCAAAGTGATTGTTGCTTTATTTGTTCCACTTCAGTTGAGAAAAAAGAAAAAATTTGTTTTTGGAAAAAGTTCTTTTGATTTTCCAGTGACTATTAGTTCCTGTCTGGATGTGAATATGAGCTGCTATTCAGCGACTAGCGAGTTGTCAGTTTGTAAAGCTTGCTACCGACAATTGATCAAGTTCAAAAAGAACTCTGATCATCTTAAAGAGCTCAAAGATGAATTGAAGGAAATCTCCAAGGATCACAAACTTCCCAGAACGAAGCGCTTATTGAACATTGAGAGTGACAGTGGAGAAATCCAAGCTTCATGCTGTCGGAAATCCTCGAAATGTTTACAATTCAATCTGATCAATGCCACTTGTACTTCTAATGCTACAGCCAATTCTACTATTTCTACCGCGATCAGCCAACAGGTACGTTATACTCAGGCAAGATTTCCTATTGGTTCTGTTGGTGTGTCTCCTATTCGAAGTCATCCATACGGACTTGCGCTAGAAGCTTTCCCTAGTCAACTGACAGTAAGATAGACTGCTTTGAGTAGATAAGTTGAGGCCTGTGATTGGTTAGCACGTTTTGGTGCAGACACTTTCCAGAATATGGTAAGTAAATGCTGATTGGTCAAAATCCTGAATGGACTGCAGTTAGAATATGAGCAGCCTTTTCTGGGGGAGTTATTCACCTGGCATGACAACTCCAGAAATGGCTGCAAAGCAGTCTGTGCTTAAGAGTGACTGGCTTCTATTTCTCTCCTTACAATATCATCCTTGAATCAAATATAAAATGTAAGGAGAATAGAGGTAATAATCACCCATTTAAGAAGTTTCTGATTTTCGAATGAATTCTCCTTGTCAACACCGTTGTTAATATTAAAAGAACAGTGCAGAGAATGAATTCTAATGTTAGAGCGAGAAAGGTTAACCTATCAGCTTTGCTTAAAAAGATCACCTTGCAAGCATCAGTATAAATTTCATGAAGATTAAGACTTTGAATCCTGAACATGACCATGCAGGCTTTGCATTAATTCTGGTGTGTTTCATTAATTTGCGACGATAACTTCCTTGTTCCACTTAAAGATAAATACCCTTATAATCTCTGGGAAAAGTCCGGATTCTCGCATATCATCCAAAATAATACATGGAGTCAATATAGCCAAACATACCAGTGGTGAAAATAGTCAGCCAAAGGATCCAAGGCAAGTTACGTGTTCCGCTCTTATGTTTGATCATGTCTCCATCGAGTCTCTATATTTCAGAATACCTGCATGGTTAGCATATGCAATGAAAGCCGTTAAGTTATTTATCTGTATCGCTTTCCAACCTTGGAGCTTTCTTTTAAACTCTCATAATATAACACAATTAAATAGTAACATATCCTCGATAAATTACAGATTACAAGAAACGTTCATAGAATCTTGTAGAAGACGAAGAAAGATACAAATTAGAGAATCTAGCTGTTATGTTTGTTACTAAGGGTCTGGTTCTACCGCTACAAACTAATAGATGAATCTTAAATTATAAAAATACGATCTCTCTCGTTACTCCCGAACAGGCTGTAATACTATCTTCCTTATCAAGTTTTGAAGTACTCGGAGCTGTGCTGAAGCATTCTTCCTTTAGAAACGACACCTACCGACAACTTTTAAAGAAAAGCTTCCTAAACCACCATTCACTTTACCAAGATCCCCCAGTCAATCAGTTTTCTAAGGGTTTTAAAAGCCTAAAGACCTTCACCAAGCTCTGATTTCGTTTGAAAAGTCACCGACAGCATAACACGATCGTATACTTCTTCACACTTACCCCGTTAAAACCCACACGCTAAAATCATTCGCACCACCACCAGCGCTAACATTGCCAAAGCAACGGCACTGAAGAGCTCTATTGCTATTGAGCGGTTTTATAACATTCTACTTTTCGCGACCAATGTACTGCACAATCAAACAACGATCAAGCGCTCGAGTATTTGACAGTCAAGCGTAAGAAGTTTCCATGCCAGCACAAGATCGAGGCGACCTCACCGTTATTTATAGACGTGTGAGCACATCCGAGAGCCAATCAGAAGTCCATGTGCTGGCCCGCTTCCGTTTAAATAAAGTAAACGAAGGAAAAAGTAAACGAAGGAAAGAGACTTTTAGCATATAAGTCACGAAAAACTTTTGTACGCGGACGGCTTTTTGCACCGAAAGACTTTTGACAAGGCCGCATGTAAAGACTGGAGCAATCTTATTTACTCACCATCTTGTTCGGTGGGTTTTTTCTAGAATGCAGCTCGAATAAAATATAATTGGTTTGAGGGCCAAAAATTCCCTCCGGATGAGATTTGAATTCGGCTCATGCTCACGAGGAATTACGTACTTTCTATCGGGATTACGCGCCAATTAAATCACCCAGGGCGTCAAAACTTCGTTTAAGACTCGTTTTATTAGTTTGGTTTTACCTTTACTTTGTCCTGTTTCGTTTCCAAGGATCAATATCAGATCGGGGTAAAGCTATACACAACCTGTTTGAGACTAATCTGTTCAACCCAAAGAGTAACTAGCAGTAATGCTGCTGAATCAAACATGAACGTCATGAGGGAAAAACAGTTTTTATAAACCGAGAGTTTGACAAGGCCTTTTATCAAGGACCGGCGCAGTGGATCAGTCTTGACAAATCAATACGTAACTTGAGATTACCTTTACTTTCTTAGCGCCGGCCCTGTAGACCGTAGTTTTTTAACTCGATTTTATCCTTTTACTTTATTGAAGATTATAACACCGTACTTTTTAACTATTAATGGTTTTAACTATTTTATATTAAATATTGTATTGCAGGGCCTCAATGAATAATACCTCTAGTGATGTAAGCTCCCTAGATAAATAACATTATTAATGTTCTCATCATTATTATTACATTATTACACTGTCGTTCAACATGTTTAAATCAGAGGTGGGAAATTGTAAAAAAGAAAAACAAGAATAGATAACAATAAAGGTCACTTAAAAAGAGAGAAATTAAAACAGAAAATTGTTTCTCTTGTTTTGTTGTTTTTTTTGGGGGGGAAGGGGGGATAGCAGCTAATGAATAAAATTCACTCCTTCGCACTTTTCATGGAAAAATTAACTCGGTTAACTAGTTGAGAGCAAGAGATTACAAACAGGTTACCATCTCTTTCCGACTGACAGTCAGGCTCGTAAGCACTGTGATTTTACCCTGGAGAGATGGCCTTTTAAGTTCCCAAAAGCCCAAAGAGTCGAAGACTTTGGTTATCTAATCAGCGTAGTGTGCCTTAGATGCATCACCTTTCAAAACTCTAGCTATATTTCAATGGGAGAAATAAAAAAATTCAATCTGACCTGTCCATTACCACATCTTCAAATTAGCCTAAAATGTTTCCGAGATAAACACTTAGGAACATTTCAACATGCTCTTAGCTCACCCTGATTTAATAACCTGTCAAGAGAATTCAATTGTTACGATTTGTTGTTTAATTAAATATTTTATTATTAGTTATTTACCCTTTTGAACATTGACTTCAAACACACAAGAAAACTTGGATTTTCTTGTTTTGTGTAAAAAAAAAAACAGCCTTATTTATCAAAAATGTTGGTTTCAGTTATAATCATTGCTAACTGACTTCATATCGTTTAAAACTGGCACTCGAGTCCACTTGCATCTAATTCTATTGTTCTGTCAAAGCACGTAATACAATTACCGTATTTACCCGTGCATCATAAGTCGAATTCATTCGTGTATAAGTAAGTCGACCCCCCATTTTCAAGGTAAAAAGTCGGATTTTTCATCATATCTAGTAAAAGAAAAGTTCAGACCGATAGAAATTTCCCGAATGGTTGATCTCTTATTTCAGAGAACGCATTGAAAACACGGTGAATTAAAATACACTGCAGAGCAAAAGTAACCGTGTGCTGTGAAGTTTAGTAGCACTTGTTTCCATCACCACGATTTACGCATATACGAGCACTTCCATTTACTGGAAAAGTAAATTACCAAAATGCGTTCGAGCGGGAATAGACAGATCCTTTTGCTGCTTTTAAGCTTGCAATCCGCAATCCTTTTCCTCTGACTTTGAGTAGGACATAACTCCTTCACGGAAACCAGCTTCTTATACGTCTTTGAGGATGCAGCTCCCTTTCAGGTTAAATCCTACCACATGCGCAACCTTTTTTAGCGTTTTACACATGTAATGAAACGACATAGCCAACGTGAAACGAAGAAGCGAAATACCTCTAAACAGAAGCGTCTGTTTATTCGCGTCAACAACATTTAACCCCTTGTATTTCACCAGCAATTTTTTTACATATCCCAACTATTTAGTAAGTTATTGATCTTAAGTGATATATTATTTTCCAAATGAAGTCGCTAAGGAGAAAACTTGCAGAAATAAATGACGCAAGAACTAACAAAACTTTAAAATACTCAATTAATGTCACTACGATCGTCTATGTACAGAATTTTCGCAATAACATATCCATAATCGTATTCATCTCACAGAGAAGACGGAAAAAATTCAAATGCTATTTTTTTCCATAAAAGCTACAAGAACACCAAAAAATACTGTTTGACTTCTTCGTTTTAAAAGCCATTTTCCAGGCGGGAATTTTAAATCAGTTTAAGTAACTTCTTATCATCATTTCTCCGTAGGAAACTTTGTGAGGAAAAATTTTTCTATTTCAAGCTGGCACTAACACAATTCAATTAAATTTGTGGTTGTCGGGCAACCAAAAAGGAAGAAATACTATAACTACTGCTGTCCTCGAGTCAAGTTTAGGAAGAGACCTTCCAGGGACAAAGCTTTCTAGGATAACATTGTTTTCATGGTCTTTCCGCGACATAAGGTGGGTTCTGGGAACGAGTTGAAGCATACTTTGAACCCAAAAAAATCCTTCACTTTCTGTTGTCTGAGGTTCCCCTATTGGAAGAATTTACATCATTAAGTTACGTATTAACAGAGGACAGAAACTATTTCTTTCACGGCGACAACTAAGACCGTCTCGTTAAAAAAAACGAACAAACAAACAAATAAAACGAATAAAAAAAAGGAAAAGAAACGTTTCTGTTATGCACTGTTGAAGTACATTACTCAAAATAGCCAGAAGCTCTTGATGCACCAAGAAAATGAGTTATACAGTAAAAAAAAAAAGTGTTATCGTCGTTTAACAAAAAACGAGCTTAATTCATCACTGCATGACCATCATTCACTTCCCGGCATCCTTCACCAAACTAATTCTCTTGAACCAGGGTTTGCTTTCACCAGTCGCCGCCTCAATGGCCGCCAGCCTATGCTCTAACTCCTGAGAACGACATTCGGCCTCCACCAGAGAAAGCTTCGTTTGCGCAAGCTCCAGTTCCAGTTCCCTGAGGCACTGCTCGGAATCTACAAGCTTCACACTTGTCTTGAATGCAGCGATTCCGCCAGCCTCCAGTGACACGTGACCTTCCTCCGAGAAGAGAGCGGAGCAGTTTTCACATGACCCTATTCGTCTCTGGAAAAGATAATTTGTGAAAGGTTTTGAAGTAATTCTGAACAGTAAATGCCTGAGGGCGACTAAGAGAAGCTAAAAGCATATCAGATGTTTGTGAAACGTCTGTGGAAGACACTAAAATGATAGTGCAAAGAGGAATTTTTTAGCAATTGAAAGTACTCTGTTGAGGTTCATTTCAAATCTCTGCTGATAAACCTAAACTGAATGAAAAAACAGTAAGAAGTGCCTCGGATTTTTATTTCCACCAGTTATGAATTTCTTTTCTTCTGTCGTCCAGTTGCGCTACACTTTTTCGAACATGAAAGAGGTCTATAGGAGAAAAACAAATACCTTGACTTCCAAGAGTTCCAGCCGCAAATCTTCCTTCAGCTCTTCGCTTCTTTCCTCCTTTTCTTTGCAAATCTACAATGTGGAACAAGCAAAAAGCAGTTATTGACTACTAAAAAAAAAAGTATTGACTACAGAAAGAAACTATGTCGCTCCTGACATCAATACTGACCTTTTTGTACTGTTCAATGACAGTGATATGCCGTTTCTTATCCTCCTCAGCCTGCTCAATGGTCTGCCGATACATTTCTTTGACCTGACGAATTACAAAAGTGTATCAGTCTGTCATGTGTGACGCCGACATTTGGTTAAATAGAGTTTCATTTCGTTTACCTGAGACCCCTCGACTTCCAGTTTTTCCCTTTGATCCTCTGATTCGACCAGCGAGATGGTCGCGTTGCTCAGAGCCTTGGACAACTCTTCCACTTTTTCTTCTGCCTAATGAACAGAAGGGCGATAGAAAAACGTGATTTGACGGGAGTAAGAATCTCAGGAAATCCTTTTATCTTATATCTGCTACTAGAGAATCATAGCAATTTAAAACTAACCGAGGCTTGAGATAGAAAAGTGTTGCAAAACTTTTAAATTTGAAAATCATATACAATCCAAAGGCAAATTTCATCACGTTAGGAACGTCGTTAAAAGCTAGAAAGGCGCTCAGTGTTACAAATGTAAATAAAGGAGCTACAGGATGAAAAAAAATTATAATAAAAGTGGAAAAATATCAGGATGTAAAAGCAAAAATAACCAGTCGAGATAAAGCGAAAATACCTCTGCCAGCTTGCTGTGAAGTTCTACTTTGGTACTAACCAACTCGTGGGCAAGGCTATCGTTTTCTTGTTCAAGTCTCAAGTTGTCTTCAAAGAACCTCTTGTTTTCACGCTGTAGAAGAAAGAGAGGGGGGATCAGTCAGGCAACACTGAAGCCGACAAAAGATCTCAAAAATACAACATTCAAAACCTGGAACTTACTGTTAGCCTCTCAACGGGGTCTTCGAGCTGTGCCTCCTGTTCCTTCTTCAGTAAGTACTCCTTTTCGTATTTCTTCATCTTTTTCTCTGTCACCTGAAATTTACACCGGATAATAATTTCAGAGAGAAAGCTTAAAAAAAAAAAGCAAAAAAAAAAAAACAATCATCTCTAAACATTGCACCAATTTTCAAACGAGTATTAAAAGTCGTTCCCAGATGCACACACAGAGGTATCCATTTATATAAAAATTAGCAAATTTAATTTACGGAACAAAACTTCATACCCGAAAGCTTAGAGCAGAGGTTATGAGTCTCTTGTACTCGTCTTCGTCTAGGTACTTTTTCGGCATGGACACTCTGAAGTACTTTAGTATGGCCTCAAAATCCATTTGGATGAGTTCCCTACGAGAGGCCTGTTACAGAATAAGGCAATTGTAGCCGAATTAATCAGCGATATAAAATATCCTAAGGTGGTCAAAATGGTTTCGTGATTTTAAACGCCAATTCTTAAGGGATCGTGGCTTTGGTATCCAAAAAATTACAAAAAGTTGTGATCAATAACTTTTTCAAATAATGGATAACATAGCAACACTATGTTTTCGTAACTAAAAAACGAGTCCATGATTCCCATTTTTACCAGTAAATTTCAGTCAGCGCGTCATAATTCATGTTACTGCAAAGGTTTTTTTAAAACTTTGTGCATATGATTCGGAGTGACAGAGGTAGCTCAGGAAAAAAAAAAAACCAACTTTAAAATTCACGACAAAAAATCACAGTCTTCAGAAATCTTCAGGAAGATAATACATTATCTAGCAATTGGGTAATGAGAACACTAAAATGTATTATCTTAATCTAACACCAAATTCTCATAACTAATTCGCAAGAAAGTGTGCAGTAGCTAGAGGGAAGAACTAACAGTCACAGGGTTACACGAACTCGAGAAAACAAACATATACAGAGACTTCGTACCTTGAGAAGGCCTAAAGCTACTTGAAAAATAACTCTCATTCCCTGGAAAATTAAGAAAAAGACAATGAAATAAAAGGTTTACGCAATCCAACTAAAAGAGCAAGTATATGTACATTATTTAAGATTCACAGGATAACGCTCTAGGTTTGACAGGCATTTCGCTAGTATCCAAAAATGTTCGACTATAAATGTCCAACCAGGCGAAGAAAATAGCGGCACAACACATGCTGTTTCATCTGTTAAATGCTGTGGAGCTGCTCAGCAACATCCCAATCAAAAACCAGACTCGATAGATTCCTTAGTCAATTCTCCAAAAAAAATTGGCCATTTTTTCCCTTTCTTTTCTGCCTTTCCTTTCTTTCTTGGTCACTAGAGCAGTTTTCAATTGAGCATCTACACTAATTCGAAATTGTATGAGTTTGCTTCTCTGCATACAGTAGTTCGTCTTTAAAATTCGGCAATCCTCCAAGCCAATTAAATACAAAACTAAAATCAGTCACTCCTTGGTAACTTGGGTTTTCCCGCACCCCAAGTAGTTTGCTTGTCTTAACTTCAAGTTCTTATGTAAGAGCGCTTTTCTGTAGAGTTACGTAAAGCCAAATCGGAAGTAATCTCAATAGCCAATCCGAACAAAGGATAAATATCAGAATAAGCCAATGGGAGGGAGCCACGATTGGTTTTAGTTTTGTGAGTGAGTGGGAATTTTTTGTGCAAATCACAGAGTGTGGTAAGACCAAACCGAAACAATCCCGAATAACTTCCCAAGCTTTATCGAAAATTCCTCTTAATTCTTTGGTTCCAGTTGGCCACTCAATCGAAATGGATTCTATATATCTTAAACCACATTCTGACTTACATGACATAGGAAGAGATCCATGATACAGTACACCATTGATAATGGAAACCTGGCCGTAAACAAAGTCAGAAACCACTGCGAGGCATACATGTGGGTCTCTATATCATTATACTGAAAATGGCTGTGGAGGTCTGGCATCGAGTCCTAGGAAACAAAATGGCGTCCACTCAGTCTTGTACTACGTGTTACTACTTTCACTCACTTTGATTATACAACAATGTATAAAATGACTGAGTACAAGTCAGTCGGTATTCCAGAAATTCAAAATAGCCTTATTGGACAGGATAAAGTCTCACCTCAATCATTCTGTCCAGCTGGAAAAACTTCAGATGCAACTGCTCAAACTCGTGTTTGAAAATATCTCTTAGCCCATAATCACTCATTATCTTCACCAACAGTGCAAATGCTTGCTCCTCTGGAAGCTGACAAAAGAACCAAAAATTTTCACAGATGTAATCTACACAAAATGACACTTAACTTTCAAAGTCATTTTTATATAACACAACAGGTTACAACATTGGCAACCAATAGGGTAAAGTTTATGTTTAAGTCTAACCATAAGTAAAAAAGGGAGAACTTAACTCTGGCTTCTGTAGAACTTAATTCTGGTTTCTGTTCCAAGAAACACTTTAAGAATAGTCCATTTTACAGTTGTGTGCTTGGTTGCCAAGCCTTTGAATGGGAGTGAGGCTAGGGTTGACCTTGTTATGATACAAACCTTGCTGCCCTTCAAATGTAAATCACTTTGTTATCATGCTAAGTAGATACAGGTCTCTATCACAACAAGGTCACCTTCAGCCTCACTCTGATAATGAGCTATTGTGGAGCTATTGTACAGTATCTTCTCGAAATAATGATACCCAGAATGTAATACTTACATGTAACAGAAGCACTGCTGACAGGAATGACAGTCCTTGACAGTAACCCACCTCCTCATCGTAAACAGAGTAGGCCTAACAGAGAATGGTAACAGGTCAACAGCAGCACACACTCTACAGCTTAGTCCTATAACATTGTGAAGTGTGTAAAAGGTAAAATGCTCTCTCTTCAAAGAAAAAAATTTTCCCCCACATTTTATGATGCACCAATCACACCTTAAAAGATATTTCTGCAAGTAAAACATCTGTTTTAAATTGCATGCAATCTTGAAATGATTGTGAGATGACTATTGCTTTCTGCTGTCTTCCATAGTGCCACGGCAAGAACTGAAGACATAATGTGCTAGTGGCTATAATCCAGAAATCACAAAAGGAGAGAACTCAACCGTGTATCAAGTGCGAATGTCGAACTACTACTGACTGGGATACATTGGGTCAAAATCAGATCAATCCTACCTCCCATAGGAGACAGTAGCCACAAAAAAAGGCTTACTTTACTGATTTTATACAATGTCTCCTGACCCTCTCCTCCAGTGCTTTTAAAGTACTCATGTGCTGGGAAGGTACGGTGAATGTCCCACTTGATCACCTGTTCTGTTGGAGATTCCTTAAAAAAAAAAAGAGAGATTTCAGAGTTCTTTATTTGTCAAGGAAGAGTTTTGTGTGACATGTCCAATTACATGTGTGTCACACTGTGTGTTACCACATTATCGTCCCAAAGATCAGGCACTTCCACAATTCTCAAAACTTCTTTTCTTGAAAGTGTGCTTGGATAAGCTGGAAGAATTAAAACACTCATTGGTCTACCTTCTTAATGAAATGTTTATAACCCTCGATGAGTTCATCATTTTCCTTCACACCAGCCATCATTTGCCAAACTTGTCCACGGAGAGGATCTGGTATGCCCTAAGTTGAAAAAAATAAGTTTACTAAGTATGTAGCTTACCTATTGTGCAATATAACTCATTCATAATAACAAAGTCTAGACTTGGTCCTATTGGCATTACAGCAGATTCTCGCTCAGCAGTTATCCCATTTTTGCAGACACCCTGCAACTTGGGCAAAAAGTATGTCCTCAGATTTTGATATTGCACTTTTGGCAGATGAATCTCCCCTTAAATATAAAATGCTAAATTGCAAGCTTCCAGAAATGGAAAGAACATGAGAGATCATGTTTCAAAATTCTTTCACCAATTCCTTGAAAATGCAGTAAAATTGAAGAAGAGCTCCCCAAAATATCTGTCGGCCGACTGTTCACCGACAGTTGGCCAACATAATGAAAACAAATTCAGAAACAAGTAAACAGACTGTAATCTTGGTAAGTTTGAACTTTCACAATTACCTCAAAATGAATTTTAATGAACACCACGCGATAGAGGTAAATTTTGAGTGCGAGGCATTATTGGCCATATCGATCTTCATTTATGTGAACTTGATGTGTAGTATCTGACTGACACATTTTGTTCCACTGAAATTGGAAAGAGTTTAGTTACTTAGATTTAGCAATACGAGTAAATTTTTTCAAAGACTCACAAAGTTGCACGAGCCCATGTTTTCATTGTGTTTCTGTAGTGTTTTCGTTGTGTTTTCTGTGTTTCGTTTGCCAACAGTCGGCTGACAGATATTTTGGGAAGCTGTTCTTCAATTTTACCGAAAACGCAATAACCAATTTTTCCCCAACATTAGCCCACCTTTCTCACAAGTCCTGGTAGTTGTCTTGGCTTAATAGTGATGTCCTTCCATTTGTTTAACAGATCCGACCAGCTGCCTAGCTCTTCCTCGGTACACTCCTTTTGCACCGCACCTGATCCTGACAGCAGTGGCTCATCATCTTCATCATCATCTATACATGAGATTTAATGAAGATATAGCTTTTTACAGATGACTGTGGCTAAAACAGGAATGTTCAACTCATTATGGTCATATAATACCACACTCAAAGGCATAATTATTTTTGTTGAGTCAACTTAAAATTTACCATTCTTAATGCTCAATCCCCCCCCCCCCAAAAAAAAAAAAACAAATTGAAATAAATTAGTCCAAGCAAGATTTACATCCCTTCTCCATCAAGTTCCATGGATCAGTTTAGATCAAAGACACTATGAGTACATTTAAAAAGCTACTCTCAAGGCTGGATAGGATGAAATAAACCATTGCCTGATATAAACATGGTAACTGAAGATCTAGCATGTGTTAGACAAGTATTACTGACCATCAGATGTTTGCCTATTCAAGGTAGCCTGCCTTTTTGTCAAAGTTTTTGAAGTTTCATAACTCAGTTCAGTTTTGATACTTTTCACTTCACATCCTTTCTCTCCAGTGTCAGTATCAAAAACCTATCAAATAGAAAAAAATTACACACTGATTTCTTCAAATAAGAGTCTAATTAGCTCTTTGTTTGGGTGACTTGCTTTCACGAAAGATTTAAAAAGCTGGGAGCCCAAGATGTCTTACACATGGGCCTTTGGTCATCAAGTGATTCTCTTTGGAGCATAGTGATGCAAAGTTTTACTTTGTATTTCAATATAGCCATACCACAAAAGCCATTTTTACCCTCAGTAGCTTATATATAGTTAAGTGGTGGCCAAATAGATAAGTGATTTTCAACTTGAAGACAAGAATTACTGGTAAAATAACTTTTGCAGCACAAAAAATTTTTTCCATATCTACATGTAACAATCAAAGGGACAATTGTCATCATCAAGTTTATGACATTGAAGCCCTTTTCTGTCTGGATGAATAGTCTTTAAGACATTTCCTCTTTGCTTCTGAGGTCTAAAATGGTGTTTTTTTTTTATCAAGGATGTAGCAAAAGGAAGGAAACACCACCTTAATAATTTTAGCTTAAGGCCCGACACAACAGACACAATTTTGATTTATTGAGAACTCCAGGTATCAGTGCTCATGGAGAAATTTCTGTCTATGTATTCCCAGATAAATGAGCAAAAGAAGATAGAAAGACTTTGAGGAAACAACCAAACCAAAAGTGGAGGCAGGGGATAACATGTTTAATCTCATTTAATGAATAAACATGACAGGACAGAAAATGGATGCACTGTAAGTAACTTCCATTGCCCCATACAAAGCCTTAGACAACGGACAACGGGACAACAGAAGGTACTTACCGTGCACACATTTTCCGTCCTGTCATGAAATCAGAATAGTTAGAGCAAGTGAGTGGATTTCCGTTCCATACCAAAACGTCATACCAAGAGGTAAAGGAAGATTATCTTAATTAAGGAAAATTATCTTAATTAACTGGTTTAGTAGTTAAACTCAGCAAATCACAGTCCAACCTCCTTCAGTTCCATAACATAAACTTCATGGAATTTTGGTTTACTGGGGCTCCAGAAGAATTTTTCTCCATTGGGAAAAATTTTGGCCTTTGTTTCAACAATGAAGCGGACTGGTTCTGTAACTCCAGTCACAACTAAGTCAACAGCTATTGTCACAAACAGTCGAGAGTCTGAAAAATGAAATATTGTTCACTTTACATTTTAATTTCAGCTTGAATTACAATGAAACCTGTATGGAGTGGACAATAACAGTGTCTGCTTAATTCTAATCAGTAAAATTAAACTAGTTAAAAAAAAAAATTAAACTGGTTTAAAAAAATTGAACTGGTTTGGAAAAAATTAAACTAGAGGATAAAATTGAACTACAACATATATACTGCTTAATACTAGTTGCACTTTAAAACCATTTAATTCCCATAAGTGATAAAGATAGAATTTCTCCCAACAATATCCCTACAGTATTAAGCAGACAAGTGATGAGAATAATGTAAAATATCAATTAGGAGATTAATACTTGATCCAATACCAAATTCTCCAAACTAACATTTTTAACAATTGTATGGCAGACAGTAAGGAGAATAACTAATCTGATCTTGGCAGTGAAAGGGTTAAGTTCAAGCATGAAAGTTAAAATCTTGAGTCAAACTGAATTTCTCAACAACTACCTGTTTTCCATTGTAATGAATCCCATGCAGAAACATTTCTTGATTTATGGCATATCACAATAAAACTCTACTGACTAAGATATCTACCTTTAGGCGTCTCAGTGTTTAACACTAACAAGTCACGTACAGCTGGATCCCATAAACCAGTAATGAAATATGTTTTTCCACCCTCACCAACCTCCATTCTTAACTGAAATAGATTCACACTTATTAGCAAATGCCGCAGCTCCTCCTCTGTTCTTCCCTTCTCCAAGGTAGCCTCCATAGCAGGGATCATCGAGCACTAAGCTAATTTCTCAAAAACAAGTTACTCAGTCCTAGCTAATTTTAAAACTTAATTTTCATATAACTTTAAAGTAAAATTTTATAGTGAGGCAGGTTTTTATTTAGCTAAAACTTTTTTCCCAACAGTGCACCTGCAATTGTCATTGCATGTGAACGGAGCATAATTGTAGGTGACATGAAGGTGGTGTGACATTTTAATGGCAGTGTAATTTAGCATTGTAATATTTTATGCCCTTATGGGCTTACAAGTAATTTTTTGGTAAATATTCAATTAATTTGGTTTTCACATTTGCATGATCTCAAGTCTTCGTTGTGCTCTATAGCAAATCATTGATTTTATGACTGGCTCCTCAGGAAACAGTTTCTTATTTGTTTTCTTTGTATCACAATGTTTTTCTCTGCTTCCTTTTGGAAAAATTGAGATTCACTACACAATACAATACAATATTCTTTATTTAACTACAGTGACATAATTAACCCAACTGGAGTTATCTAACTTATGGCCTTCACAACAATACAAAATACACATATAAAACAATGCCTAATCAGCAATATACGACTTACAACAAGAGACACTAAAACTATACAAATATTTGGTTCAACATATAGATATAAGGCGATAAACACTAATTACCTTCTAATACAGTTACAGTAAAGAGAAAAATGACACCCATAACACATTAATTCTTCAAGATGAGAAATATTACTAAGTTAAACAAACTTAAGGAATAATTTTAGAAGTTCACTAGTCATGAAGTGTTAATAAATTATTTTCTGATGATTTTGGTGCATATCACAATTCTCCAAAAGACTACAATTATCTTACAAAAAACATTGCATAATCATAATAGAGGTAAAACCATTATCAAACTCCAGGTCATTCAAATAACACTACACTATTATAATAGCTTACCTCACTTAATAAGTGCATGTCAGAATATCGAACATTCTTTCCTGGACAGATAAGAAGGCCAAAACACCTAGAAGAGTGAAGAGAATACACATTGTAAGATTTGTGACC